GCCGCCCTTGGAGCACCCAAACATGTGTATTTTTAACCACTGCAGAAATGTATGCACAAGCAATCCATTTCGTCCCAAGTTTTATTCCTACGAACTAGTACGAAGATTCCTTGACGAAGCTTCAGTTTTTTTTTTCTTTTTTTTGACGAAACGTAGTTGAACTGAGGCATATAATAAAAAGTATAATATAATAATGTGTTCAAGAAAACCCAACATTTCAATTGGCAAGCGTTCTGCGGCCAGGATGGTAGCGGGAGAGGAGGTCTGACACTGAAACCATCTACCAATTCATCCAAACAGAGCTGCGAGCCAAATGGAAAAGGGAGATGAAAAAATGCGCACTTCCACGCAAAAAAAAACGGATAATATCAACTTAAAGACCGAAATAGCTAGAACCTGCTCTGTCAGGAGGATGGATGTCTCATGTGGAATAGAGAGGGGAGCAGACGGACTGGGGCAGCCTCCCTTGGAAGGAGTACACTATGACGTTCCAAGTATGGTGGCAGATCCACCCAGGGATCATGTTACGGGTACTACTGGAGTTCGTTCAGGACATGTTCCCTTGCTCGGAGCAGGCCCCGGTGGATCTTCAGTAGTATGGTCTGGAGGGGTAGATTGTGAGCCTGGTCATTGATCGTACGAACACCGCCAGCATGATGCCACAAAAAAAAAAAAAAAAAAAAAAAAAAAGACAACAATTTTGAAGAAGCTCGTTGAAGCAAGGCGTGATATAAACATAAGCGACAGTTTTTCGTACGCAACATTGTGGCAACAAAATGGTATCAGGTGGACCCTTCCCCGACCACAGTTTACCATCCGGACAGGATTCCAGCCGACCACAGTTTACCATCCGGACGGGACCAAACTGGGCCCAAAAAAAATAGACTCTGAGTCTCTGAGAGGAAAGTTTCAAGAAGTACGCCTCGGAAATCCATTTACGGATGGTGGAAAAAAACTCTAAAAAAGCAAAAGAAGAGGGATTTCACGAGCAATACAGGCAAGAAATGGACCCCGAGACAGCTCAAGGGCAAAAAACAAGGAGTATAAAATAGTACTAAAAAAACATTTGTAGCACGGTGCCAGCGCCCACTGGAAAACGACCTGCAATTCGAAAGAGTTTGGACTGGTCTTGTGAGGCTAGAACCCACTACCGTCTTCACCCGAATAGAACGCCCGGTAATTATCGCCGTATCTGGACTGCAAGTTGTGCCAAATACCGCTATAATGACCAGGCGTTCTATTCAGGTGAAGACGGTAGTAACAATTTTGTCGAGAAAGGTCTTTGAAAAAAGGGAAAACTAGGGCCGCGCTGTCACGGTTTCAGTTTGAAATTTGAAAATGCACTTCAGCGAAGATTTTCGCGAATGCTGTGTCCGAGGAAAATCGTGAAGGTATGTATACAACCCAGCTTTAGGGTTGGGTGGAGATGTGTTGTATTCGAAGGGATGCATGAACTGTATTTAAAACTGAAGTCGTGACTGCGCCCTGCTAGGGACAGTGATATGAGCCGCGGCCGCCGCCGCCCCTAGCAGCACGGCTGATGGCTCCAATCCATCAGTGAGGAGCATCACCTGCTGGAAAACAGGTCCAGCATCCCTTTTACATGATCGAATTTGTTGAGCCTGAGAACTACTGAAAGCTACAGTAACTGAGAACTGCTGATGAAATGGCCTAAGTGAGTTGATGAGTTGGCTGTGGTCAGCCTCTTGCAATCTCGAGGCGAGGGGACCGCCATCAGATAGGTGACTAGGACTCGTAGATGACCACACAGCCTTCAAGTTGCTTATTGTCTGCCCTCTGCCACTTGTCCTTACTGTCCGCCCTACCCACCCTGAGACAAGTGTAGCCGGGGGTTTCTCTTTAGCCTAAACCCTAAACCCTAAACCCTCTTCAGCTTCCTTTCCAACACCCAGGCCAATTTGGCATGTGGTTTACCCGCTTGATCACAAAATCCAGATCTATTCAGGTTTTTTATTATATTTGAGATAGGTGCTTCCTGCGTAGCATTCTGTTCGCGAACGCGAATGGGTCCCAAAAAACCCACCGAACGCGAATGTATTTTTGTTTTTGTTTTTGTTTTTACATAGGGGTCTGAGGGGGGGTTGGGGGGGGTGCCCGTCACTCCTGGGTACGTACAGGCTCCGGGGGGGGAAATGAGGGTTGTGGGATGCAGCAACCCCCCCGTCCCCCCTGACCCCTTCCTACCCCCGGTTGGTGCAGCAGCCACAGGGTACCCCTCCCAACCCCTTCCCACCCCTGGGTGTTGCAGCTGCCCCCTGTCCACCCAAACCCCAGCCCAGGCAGAGAAAGATATGGCGGGCGAAGATGAGGGGGAGGAGAAAGGGGAGGAGTAGGAGGAAAAACAAGATGAACGAGGAGAAGATGAGGGGGAGGAGGAGGAGGAAGAAGAAGAAAAGGAGGAGGAGAAGAGGAGGGGGAGGAGAAGGAGGAGAAAGATATGGC